GCATGAGAAGGATGCATGGAGCAGAGCCCGGAGCAGAATCATAGCTTGAAACAGCAACAGCGAACCTGCTGAGCCTACACATAAGCCGAGCAAGAAACCAAGATTTGTTGTTAGGAACCAGTGAGATGCTAGGGTCATCTGTTACTTCAGCAGAGCTGACCAAAACAATGCACAAAACTGCATTCCTTACAGCAGCCCCTCCACCAGTTCTTCCTGCCGTATTCCCAATCTGCACGAATGATCCCCCATCCACCAAAAACTACCGTCCCTAGGATAAAGCCCCAAATTCTTAATGAGTGTACTTAAACCTTCTGTGATCTGTGCATTAGGTGCATTTGTTGTACTAGTGAAGAATATTCAGCTCTGCTACATAGAGAACAGGAAAAACGAACGGCATGGACACAACTCATACATCAAGTTAGTAACTTACAAGACATGCTGAAGATCCATGACGTCAGTGGAACATACATGTAATGAACACAGATAAAAAGGAAAGAACAAAAGGGAGTATTACCCCTAGTCAGAGAGTCATGGACAGACCAAGTAAATGTTAACTATCATCAAGACACAAATCATGCGATCTCCAGATTGACAGTTCTGTCATCCCCAAGTCAGCCACCCAGTAGGGCCCCATGTGTGTAGTCTGCCTAGAAACAGACGAAAATCACAACTGGCACACAGCTCTTCCAGGCATACAGGTCCTGAGTCTCCCCAACAGAACAAGTGTCCAACTGCTGAACCCCCTGCTTTAACCTCCTCTCTGGCCCTTGCAACTACACTCTCGGCAGGGAAGGTTGTATATACAGCAAAGAGCAGGACGTGTAAACACTGCAGAGCCCAGGATCCGGGGATGCAGTCCTTCCACGCGGCAGGCACCTAATCCTAAGCGTTAGCCAATCCCAGACCTCCCCACGTGCTTCTTGTTGCATGTTTTGAAATGATTTAATGAGCTGTGTGATTCACATATCTTAACTTGGGCTGCAAGCTTCTCTACTCTGGTACTGCTGGGAGACCCTGCCTGGTCAGGCTCTTTTTTTTTTTTTTTTTTGAAGATTTTATTTGTAAGTAATCTCTACACCCAATGTGGGGCTCAAACTCACAACCTCAAGATAAAGAGTTGCATGCTCTAGCGATGTAGCCAGCCGGGCACCCCTGTTTCTTAGAAGCTACTGCTGCATCTAGATAATTTCCCACACAACAGTCCAGCCCCATCGATCTCCTCTGGCCTTATCTTGGGCCACTCCCCCTACTCATGTTACTGTAGATGCTACTATACTGAACCAGTCCCCAGGAGCAAACCTCCGCGTCCTTCTGCACCTGCCGTTCTCCTGGGAAGCCCTTCCCTCCTCTGCACCAAATTCCTGTTTTTCCGTTAAAACTCAGATATTACCTCCCCCGGAAAGTCCTTCCTGACCTCACCCCTATCTAGATAGGTTGCCCACCACCACCACCACCCCATCCATGCCCTCCCATTGCACTTGTCCTGAATTGTAATTGTTCATCTACTTAGCTGTCTTCCCTCCCACACTGTGAGCTACTTAAGTTGACGGGAACCATCGTCTCTGAATGCACCTTGCATCTCCATAGGACACATAACTCCAGCCCTGGCACACAAGCTGGCATGTAATAGGCACTTGATAAACCCTGGATGAATGAATGAGTGAATGAATGTCTTGATAGCGAGTACAAGGAACATAAGTGAATTTTTGGCAACAAAAGAATTACGTATGACTTTTGGGTCATCGATTCTTACTAAACAAGACTGCTAATGTCATTACAGAAGATACTGAAAATTGAGCTGAATCTACCATGCTCCACTGGTATTTGTTATGGAACCTTAGCAAAATAATTGGAACAGAGTAGATGTTCAATAAATATGTTAATGAATGACTTAGTGAAAATACGAATATATGAATGCTACATTTTTTTTAACAGCTGAATTCCTAAGATTCATTTATTTGTTGTTGGGGTCTGTAGAATGACCACAAATGAAAGCCATTTGACGGGCACCTGGGTGGCTCAGTCAGTTAAGCGTCCAACTCTTGGTTTTGGCTCAGGTCATGATCTCAGGGTCCTGAGACTGAGCCCCGTGTCGGGCTCCCTGCTCAGCAGGGTGTCTGCTTCTCCTTCGCCCGCTGCCCCTCCCCCCTCTTGTGCTTTCTCTCTCTCTCAAATAAGTCAATAAAATATTTTTTTAATTTTTTTAAAAAAGAAAGCCATTTGAGATATCCAAAATTCAAGAAGATATTTTAAATATCTGTAAGAGTTCCATAATCCTAGAAATATGAAAGAATGTGACATCTCATCAAGTTCAAAAGTCTTTCTTACATATATATTTTCAATTTAATATCTTAGGGTCCTGTTAAACTCAAATGACCTTTTTTTTTTTTTTTTAAAGATTTTATTTATTTGACAGACACAGCAAGAGAAGGAACACAAGCAGGGGGAGTGGGAGAGGGAGAAGCAGGCTTCCCGCGGAGCAGCACAGAGCTGGATGCGGGGCTCGATCCCAGGACCCCGGGATCACGACCTGAGCCGAAGGCAGCTGCTTAATGACTGAGCCACCCACGAGCCCCAACTCAAATGACTTTAGAGTTAAGTGCAAAATACATAGATTCATAGAAGCCCCCCAAAATGCAAAATCCCATTAAGCAATCAACCCAAATGAGAACTGCAGAGTTAGTGACCTATGAGATCAATTTCTTTTTTAAAGTAGGCTCCATGCCCAATGCAGGGCTTGAACTCACAACCCTGAGATCAAGAGTTGCATGCTCGGGCGCCTGGGTGGCTCAGTTGGTTAAGCGACTGCCTTCGGCTCAGGTCGTGATCCTGGAGTCCTGGGATCAAGTCCCGCATCGGGCTCCCTGCTCGGCGAGGAGCCTGCTTCTCCCTCTGACCCTCCCCCCTCTCATGTACTCTCTCTCATTCTCGCTCTCTCAAGTGAATAAATAAATCTTTGGAAAAAAAAAAAAGAGTTGCATGCTCTACCAACTGAGCCCAGCCAGGTGCCTGAGATCAATTCCTTTATAAGTTTTAAGGCCCAACTTATAAAATGCAGTACGGTGTAATAGCCAGAGTGGTCAAAAAAATAGCTCTGAATGTCTCCGGCTCCTGGTTGCAAGACCCACCAAACCCTCTGATCATAAATAAAATGAATTATCTGGACAGTAGCTGTCTTCCTTTCTACCTCAGAAAATTAAGAAATAAGTTGTTGCCATTAAGCAAGATCTTAATTAAGTCTTCATTAGAACATATGTTAAATGAAATGGTAACTGTGAGAAATGCTAATTATCTCCCAGTATCTAGTCTTTCGTTCTTCCCTTCAACCCATGACTGTCCAGCTAGGACTGCAGTTCTCAGCCTGCCCTGCCAGCTAACAGAACAGGTACATTAGTGGCCTGTGAAACTTCTGGATCAGAGTTTTTAAAGAGGAAGCTGGCTGGCCCCCACCCCCTCTCTTCCCCCAACCTGGGGGGCTAGAATGTGCATAAGGCCGACAACAGCGGCAGGGGTAGAATGAACCAGCCTCTACCTAGAGACTGAATGAGGCTGGCAGAGGGGAGATGACAGAGCAACATGACAGAAGGGAACTGGGTCCCCGGATGGCCTTATAGAGCAGAACCGCCTCGCTGAGGGAGAAAGAAACTTCTAGCTTTTTGCTCTGCGGCGGTTCTGGGTCTCTGTTACAGTAGCTTAGCCTGTACCCTCCATAACACAGTAACTATGTTCCTTCAGATGCTCTATGTCTTTGAACCCCATAAAGATGTACAATTAAGGAACAACAATTTAGGAAATCAAGAACACAGCAGTCAGATTTTGTGTTAAGGAGGAACCTGCGCCTATTTTAGGTAATGGCAATATTTTAGAAGTTTTGGCCTTGGTTTTAAGGTGAAATCTTACTAAATAAACAAGTAATATTAGCATATCTAAGAAAGCATCAAGCTTACTCTACGTTTAATAATTGATAAGAATTATGTAAGTGTTCAGAAAGATGATGTTTGCTCACCCAGATGACTTATGTATTTTTTTTTTT